TGTGTTTGTGTGTGTGTATATATGTGTATGTGTGTTTGTGTGTGTATGTGTGTGTATATATGTGTACGTGTGTGTATGTATGTATGTGTGTGTATGTGTGTGTTTGTGTGTGTATGTATGTGTGTGTATGTGTGTTTGTGTTCACAAGGTCAGTTCTCTCCTTCCACTTTCTTCCACCTTGTTGAAGGGAGTCTCTCTTACTTCTGCTGATGCCCTGTGAACACCAGGCTAGCTAAGCCATGAGCTTCTAGATGATTCACCCGCCTCCTCCTCCCATTCTTGCTGTAGTAGAGCTGGGGATACAGAAACCTGCCACTGCATCTCACTTTTTACCTGGGTTGTAGGACTCCAACTCGAGGCCTCGGGCTTGAGCACTTAGCCCTTTAACTATTGAACTTTATCATGGTCCAAGGACATCTTTGAAACATTAAGCTGAGGTCCATGTTGGAGAGACATAGTTCTCAACTTGGGGGTGTAAGGATGAATGTGGAGAGGGGTCATCTTCCTCAGAGGCCATTTAGCAATCCCTAGAGACCTTTTTGACTGTCACGATGGAGCATACTACTACCATCTAGTGGTTGCAGCCTAGAGATGCGGCCAAGCATCCCACAGTGTATTTAGACAGGCTACACCATCGTGGATGCAGCCCTAGTATGCAATGCATCTTAGTGTCGGGATTGAGAAATCCCACCCAGGACTAGTCTAGATCCCTGGCAGCCAGCCTCTCAGTGTCCCCAGTGGGGCTCCTCTCTTACTGCTTGTACCCTTATTTAGCACCCCATACACTCAAACCCCCAGGGAAGAAGCTCCAGCTGGAGAAGGGAGGACCCTGGACTACACCCTGCAGAAGCCATCCAGCAAGCATGTGAGCGAGCTTGCAGGCATATTCTGCAACCTCGGTCATAGATGAGCCTTATATACCTGCAGCCCCCAGTGACAGCTTGATTGCAATATCCTGAGAGACCCTGAACCAGAAACTGCTAAGCTAGGGTCACCGTCACATTTTGGGTTCTCAAAAGTGATAAAAACAATTAATTTTGTTACCATTTTAAAGTGTTGATTTTTGGAGTGATTTGTTACACAGCAATGGATAGTTGATACAAACCTGCTCTGGAAAAGCCTAAAACCAAGCCTTGTCATCAGAAGAGATGACAGCAAATTCACTGTCTGTTAGAATTAAAATATTTAAAGGAAGAAAACATGGCCCAGGTGTTTTAAAATGTATAAGCCACGATGTCTAGCACATAGTAAAAAATAAATTACTACACATGCAGCCAAGTGTGGTGGTGTGTGCCTTAATCCT